GCGTTTACACAATAAGCAAGTAACATAGACTGAAATAGAAACCCCAAAACCTGATTCCAGTTTGCCTGGAGTTTTAGGAGGCGTCTTAGCTTGAATATCCCAGAATAGCTTCTCCCAGGCTGACCAACCATGAAGAGAATGTGTTGTAAGGGTTATTTTTTGCCTTGGCTTAACTTGTAAAACAACACCTCAGACTCTCCAAATCACCTTAAGAAAGTCCATTTCTCACAATGTCATCTGCTTGCCAAGTTCAAGCCTAGTATGTAACATCATGGACGGCTTCAGGCCTCATTCTCAGCTCATGCCGATTCTCAAGTATCTGAATTGAATTCAGAAATCACAGTTTGTTGAAGGAAACAGATCACTAAGTCAGTCCACCAGACATCACTTATGTGGGGAAGCTGAGCATTAATGAAAGTTCTCTTGACTGGTGTGGACCTGAACTAGCCGCAGCTGCTTAATGAAGAGTGTGGGCTTCTGACGGCACAGGGCCCCTCAGGGCTGATGGGAAAGAGGGTCAGGGAAGTCTCAGATGGCTTGTGAAAGTTGATTGTTAAGTTTTCAGGAATTTTGGAAAGTGGTTGTTAAACACGACTATTATTAAAAATTAAATGATGCAAATTTATAACTAAACGAGACACTAAAAACAAAGGTGATAAATGCTAAAAACAGATCACATCCTAATTATTGTACCACAATTTATTACACTCTACTTTCTTGAGTTACATGCCTATTGTATACAGATACATACAGTTGCAACTTGCCACTGTGAACCTCTGCCCCGTTCCACACACGGTGACATCATAGTGATAGTTTGAAATCAACCACAGCGCAAATATTTACACCACCGAAATTGGCACACTATCCTCTCAGGGCTTGTTTTGTTTTGTTTTGCTGATCATCTAGACTTAAGAAAGTGATAAGAGAAAATATTAATAAAGTACATTAAGTGTAAATGTGTTCTGTATCTGTGGCAGTGACACTATGAATAACTAAAAATTTTGAGGTAGTGTTTTTCCAGTTTTCAAAAACTGTTACTCAGTTTGCAAAGAAGTACTCACACCATGGGAAAATTAATGAAGTTCTAAAATACATCATACGTAGCTTAATGATGGAGACATGGTCTATGAAATGTGTTGTTAGGTGTGTAAACAGCATAGAGTGTAGTTAAACTAAGATGATTATGGGGTCACTAGGTGATATAATCTTTTCTATATTATTAATCTTGTTTTATTATATGGAAACAGGCACAGAGAGATTAAGTAATTTACTTAAGGTCATAAAGCTAAGTAATTTACAAAACCTAGATATGAACCCAGAAATACCAGAATGATTTTAATAATTCTGCAGCTGGAATCTAAAGTCTTTGCATGAAAACTTCTAAGTTGATCTAGAAAAAAAAGAGAAATGAAGAAAATGATTAATAGAATGGAAAGCAGAGGGAGAAACATAATAAAAGCACACGACTGGGAAGAAATAAGATGCATGAAACTCCCTTGATCATTGCAGTAAGTGTCAATGGATAGTTCCACCAAATAAAATAGGAGATACAATCTTATAGGATCCTGGTTCCATGTATAGTCCACTGTTGACCAAATCATTGATAATACGTAGCACCTGACTGAACACTTTTATTGTTTTGCTTTCCTTTTACTAATTTATTGCAAATGAAATTGTCAACCTACGTTCAAATCTGGTTCGCAGCTGGAGAGCCAGGGTTAACACTTACCAGCGGACCTACTGGAGAATTAGGAGGGCCGGGATGTAGCTCAGTGGTTCTGCAGCCTGCCTTGAAAGTGCAAGGTCCAGTTTGATCCCTGGTACCAGAAAAGAAAAAAAAAAAAAAAAAGCTTTAGAGCGGTGTTGGGGGAGAGTATTAGGATCCACTCCCTTGGGGCCCCCCAGGAAGATCATTACGGGATATCTACAGTTTGGAAGAAGGAGCCTGCCTGAGGGACAGTCACGAAGAACACAGAAGACAGGATCGACAGCCAGCAGCAGAGACTTCCACGCGGAGGGAAAGGTGGAGAGTAAGCCCGATGCGCCTAACAGAGCACAGCACTGGAGCACACACCGTCACGCCTAAATTCCAGGAGAGGCTCGGTACTGTATATTCACGGTGTCTTGAAATTCTAACAGACTTTCCTCTACAGAAGTTCATGTGATAACCAGAATAGAACTGCAAGGCAGCCATCACCATCTGAAGTTGGAGGTGGAGAATTGGTCAAGACAAAGCTGGAGAAGGTGAGAAAAGCGCATGTGCAAACAGCATCCTGCCAGGATGGCAGGGGACACTGCAGAGGGGCCGTGTGGCCTAACACTGATTCAAGAAGATCTGGCTGAGGCTTTGGGGCTGTCACCATTGCGGCCCTAGCTGGATCTTACGCCGCTAGACTGTCACCGATGCTTTTGTGTGTGGATGGTGTCCAACCCAGCCTTCTTTCCTGGCACAAAACAGTCACTGGCGCACCTGAGCAGAGCATGCAGGAAATAGAAGGGAACGCGTAGAAAGGGGAGGATACTGAGGCTGAAACCCAGGCAAGAATAAAGGACGCAGGATACATGGCTCAGAAACGAGGAAGAGCAATCGAGCAGATAGAGAGCGCTGCGTAATCTTTTGCCCATGAAGACAGTTGTGGTCTCCTCATAGGAGACAAGTTTTCGAGGCACATTGCAAGGAGAGGGGCTTGGTGAAGGGGCAGAGGAAACACCAAGGGCAGCACACGTGAAAGTGCTGAGTCCAACGTGAGGAGGACAGGGTGGGGGAAGTGGAGCCACTGGAGGATACACCAGGCGTATTCAACCTCCAAGTAGGGCTGGAGGACATCGGTCATTTGGCAAACACGCAACGCGTCCACTCTGAGTCCTGGGGCGGCAGTGTCTCCTGAACTGGTTCCACAGGGCAAGCCTGATTTAGGCCCAACACAACTCTATTCTGTTTGACATTTTAAATGCCCTGGGTGCTCAAGACGGTATGATAACACCTGTGGATACACCCAGAAGGGGGCCGGGAGATTTGGTTTGAGGTCCCAGAAGTCATTTTCCAGCTCTGGCCTCAGTTTCCTCATCTGTGACACAAGGAGGAGTATGCACACCTCTTCTGCCAAACCACTGTCAAGGCTGACTGAGGTGAAACCTCACAAGCTGCTTTGTTATTAACCTCTGAGGCCGTCCCAGGACCACTCACTCTCACAGGCCCCTGGCCTGGTGTGGCCCCAGGAGAAGCACAGCTTCTCTGCTCAATTCCGACCTCCTGCTGGCCCTCTTGCTCTGGAGACGGCCCTGGGTGCTGGGCCTGGGGGCTTGTCATACAGTCAGTGCAGTGTGGGCCGGGTGCTGGGCCTGTGAATGGTGGCCGGCAAAGGGTGCTCGGTGCTTTGCTTGAGAGCCACCAGAATGAGACAAAAGGTGCCTTCCCTGGCTGCATTCCTCAGCAGGCGCTCACTGTGCCTGGCAGGTGCGGACAAGCACGCTTTCCTGACCACTGGCTCTGCCCCAGCCCTGTGCAAGCAGGAGCATGTCCAGCTCTCCTGCAGCCACCTCTGCAACTGCAGAGAGCCACACAGCCCTCCTGGCCCAGGCCTCGGTTTCCTAAAGTTTTGGAGGGGAGCCACAGACACCGAAACCCCCATTTACTGGGACATCTTAGGAAGCTCTTGTGGATGGCTGTAGATTCCCAAGCCCAGCTGCATTCTCAAACCGAACACAGATGCTTACCTTGTTCTACTGTCACTTACTCTGAAGGTATAGAACCAGCCTCCAGGGGTGGGGGTTCTGGCTTCTATCTGCTCACTGTGTGACCCTGGTTATCAACTTTAACCTCTCTGTGCCTGGGTTCTCTCATTACTGTAACAAGGGTCATAGTTGCACCTACCTGCTAGCTTGTTACATATACAGTGTGAACCCATGCACTTGAGTTGTGAATTAACATAAATGCACGAGCTGGTAGTATATGTGTCACAGTAAGAATATTAAAATATTAAAAGTGATAAATGATAGTAATAATATTATTATCCATTTGCCACCACCTCAATTATCACTCTGGTCCCATTTCTTTTTAACTTTTTCACCATAAGTCTGGCCCTTTCTGACCGAGGTTAGCTATTTCCACCAACGCACTAAGATTCATGAAAGCAAGTGTGGAAGAGGCTATGTGGAGCGGGTGGGGATGAAGGGACAAGAAGAGGATGTGAGCCAGGTGTGACAGCTCAGTCCTATAAATCCCAGCACTCTGGGAAGCTGAGGCAGGAGGATCACAAGTTTGAGCCCAGCCTGGGCAACTTCATGAGACTGTGTCTGAAATCGAAAATGTTAAAAAAAAAAAGGTCTGGGGATGTCACTCAGTGCAAAGGTCCTAGAGTCAACCCAAGTACTAAAAAACAGGTCAATATGGGCCCTCAAAGCTGAGTTATGAGCTCCATAGTCCCTGGAAAATGTGAGCCATGTACTGGCATAGCCTGAGATAACTTACAGGGAGGGGAGAGAGCAACGCATGGCTTATGGTGTTCCCCAGAGTAGCCAGGCATACTTAGAAGATGGGACATTTGTCCCAATGCTGCTTCTGTACAACTGGGCGCGGTATTTATGTAGAGTCAATGAGAAGGGTACACAGCAAGTGAAAGGGCTCTGTTGGGAACGGTGATGATTTATGAGACGTTCACCTTTTTCCTTTGGCTCATAGATATTTCCTAATTCTCCTGTACGGTGAAGATAAGTTACCTGACGGTAGAAATTAAGAGACAACATTGGTGATTTCTTATATTTTATATAAAAATTTTAGTTAAATATATTCATACATAAGTATATACGAAAAAGCTATATTCATCTTCCCTTGTATACTTCTATATTATATACATACAAAGTAACACAAAATTATATATATGATGTATTATAATATATATGACTATTCATAGAGAAATGCTAAAAGGAAATACAACAACATATTATCAATAGCTTCTAGTTGTCTTTTTCTGTATTTTCCAAGTTTTTTGCACTGGGCATTTATTTTTGTAACGAGGAGCAGAACTGTGCAGATGTGTGTAGGCACGAATGTGTGTGTGCATTGGGTTTCTACGCATGTGTATGTTCATGCACATTTACTCTGCGTGCTTTCTCTGAAGAAAACAAATGTTTTCAACTACAGCTCATTACTTTCGTTTGCTTCCCTGGTACAGATTAGCTATCTGGTTTTCTTAACATGAAAATGGGCATAACTTTTTTTCTGCATCCACAGCTTCTAACAGCTGGGCTCAGGCCCTACTGTCATTGCAGGCTTTGGCGTGTGTGAGCCCAGCCAGGCCCGGCTAGGGCGTAGAACTGGTCAGTACAGCTCGGCAAACCGTGGACGTACATCTAGAGGTGTTTAAACACAGCAAACAAAAACAACCCAGGAAAGAATGTTTGGGACTTAATTCCCTTGGGAGAGGAACGCGTCTCGTAGGTGCTGCTTATCGTGTGGACAAATGGGAGGTTAATTGGGAGGCCCATTCACAGTGCAAAGCAAGAGCAAGGTAACGAACCAGACACCCTCAGATGGGAGCGCAAAGCTGCATCCTGGCTGTCCGTGCCCCAAGGGAGATGAACACGATGATCTCATGGTTATTTTCCATCCCGTATGATCTACGGGACTTCCCTGACACATGTATAGCTGTTTGTAATTTGTTCTTTGGCTAGTACTTTCTAGATGGCTTTGAAGGAAAACAGCGATTTCCCCATTTTTTCCTGGGCCATATAAATAGCAAAGTCTTAGGTTCCCACCCTGTGTCTGATTTGTCTCCATCACTATTATCTGATATGAAGAAGAGCTTGGGAGAAAGTTTTTCAATGGCACATTTGGACTTGACAGAAACTCTGAGTTGAGGTGAGTCCATCTGTGGATGACGCGCGACGCACTATTCCTACTCCAGCCCCATTGCCTGTGGACTTCTCAGAGGGCAGAATAGCCTCTGTCTTTGTGTAGAAATTTGAAATTCTCTGATGGAAGTTTTGGTGTCATGGCACATATCATCTGGAGGCATCCGAATGTTTTCCACGTGTCACAAATCACCCTTCCACAAAGCAGTTTTTAAATCCCTTGCTAGTGTGAGTAAGGATTGAAAAACAATAGAGGATTCATGGTTTTGTCCAAATTACAGGAAGGTTCCAGGGCCTCCAGGAAGGAAGGATGGAGAGGAGAATAAAGAGAAACCATTAGGATCTCAGGATGTCCATCTTAAAATCTTAGCCTCTGGGATCCACTTTGTCTATAAATACCATTCTCCTCACCTGGAGTTGTAAAGCTAACGTTGTTTAGCCCTTCTGGCTTTGCAGTTATGGTCTTGTTTGATTGTAGGGCACTGTTCCACCAACCACCACCTTTCCTGGGACTCTGTATGATTCTAGGACTACCAGGAGATTGTCTAGAAAGAAAAACTTGTCACACCTCTGCCCTCAAGAAGGGACCGTCTGTGTCCACTCAGTGTCGTTAAACATTTCTCTAGTTCTTCTTGGCTATCCATCTTTTTGGTCACTTCAGTTCCTTTTCAGGCAAGCAATAAGTATTGCTGGAGGCCCTAGTGAGTTACAAGGACTACAGAGAGGATGTTGTTGCATATAAAGGATTCTGGGACCAGGTTAGGGAAACACAGATTCATTAGGGAGACAAGGGCGACAGCATCTGCCATGAAGAACATATAAGAAAGTGTTCAGTAAATAAATGAACTTCACAAATTTGACAAAAGTGTGGTGAGTGGAGAAGCGGTCATTTAGGCTCCAGGTCCCAAGAAGTCTGCTGGGGAGGGGAAGAATCTGAAGGGAGGACAGGACTGACGCGGGGCATCTAAGGAGATTAACAAAATATAGAGGGAAGGAGTTAAGCAAGGATAAAGCAGGATAAAGTGGGGTTTTAGACCTGTCCAAGGTGTAGTCATGAGGAGGAAAGGTATGGGGAGTTAGGATAGCACTATGTTGCGGGGGCAGGGGTTTTTAAGTTGCTTTTTTCTGTATGTTCTTGGGTGCTATTTTCTTGATAACGATGTACTGCCAGCAGTGGCTTGTCCAAAGATCTGACATGTGCCCTGGGCATCTTCCTCCTGTGTCCTTCCTCACATTGGCCCACCAAGTGTAAGTTTCATCTCAAACTGGCCGCCCCTCCGTGGGTGGCTTGCCAAGTTATGGTAAGTACCCCAGGCTGGCTCTCCCTTGGCAGAGAATTTCATTTGCCAACAGATCTGGACTGGGAAGAGGATGGATCAAGTGGTTGGACTGTGTCTCCAGAGACTATCCTCCTGGGAGGGCCAGAGGCAGATGCTTGGAGCTGGCTAGCATCAGGGAACAATCTGGTAGCCACAGAAGAAACCCTCCTGCTTGGAGGGTCTGAGAGCCCAAAGACACCTGCTTGGCTTGGCTTGCCTTGGCTAGTAGTGTTTCCAGCAGAGATGAGCAGGAGATGGAAGGGTGGTTGAGAGCTAGCAGGATGAGGAAGAACGGGTCTTCAGTGCAGAAATGAGATATTTATCATTCCCTGTCTATAAATGCACAAGTTCTGACCATGTTGTTGGTGAACGCAATCAAATTTTGGCACTGTTGCCTGAAGCACTCCAGTGAAGATAAGGGTAGAATAACCTGACAGAAAGGATGATTGAAAGGGGTCGGTCAATGGCTAAGCGGCAAAGATGGAGCCTATAATGAGACAGAAGATGAGAGAGGTCAGGATATGAGAAGAAAAGCCATTGCTGGGGATAGCTAGGGACTGGGGGCTTCCAGGGATGGGAACTATATAGCCGTTCTTTGGCTCTATGTCAGTACTCCTGGCCTACTGCCCTAAATGTGGATTCATGAGACCAAGAATCAAGCATGAGGGGAGAAGGGCTTTGCAGCAGAAATGCCCCATAAAGAAAGACTTTACTCCCACCAACAGAGCTGCAGCAGGGGGCCCTGCCACTCTCCCAAGCCTCAAAACCATGACCTTCTTACTCAAAGACTGTCCATCTGTCCAGCCATTCCGCCAAGCCCTGGAGCCCCATGCTGATTTCCCTTGGAAGAGCCCCAGTTTCCCGGGTGACCTCAGCAACAGCAGGGCCCACGGATGGCTCCAGTTCCAAACTTCCTGTCACTAGGAAGGGTCTGCCTGGTCCATGGAAGTAACAATAACACAGTTGCTGTTTCTGAGCAAGAGCCCTCAATAAAGTCATTGGGATGATTCTCTCGGCAGCATGTCTAATCTTTTCTGGCTGCCTTTCTGAGCACTGGGCTCCCAATCTATTTTGGTTTCTCTCTTCTTTGACTCATTCTGAGACTTCCACGCTATAAATCTGAGCACATCCCCCATTCTCTCTCAGTGCCCGATCCCACCAGCAGGCAGACAATTCAGAATTAGCAGTGGTCATGGTTGTCCAAACTGACAAACAGGGAAACTGAGGCACAGCAGGCCACAGGGCCTTGTCCCGCTCCCCCACAGTGACCCAGCTGCACAGCTGCCAGCAAGGCCCAGGGTTCTGGCTCGAACTTTAACTCTGGAGCTCTTAAGGAAGGCTGGGGCCATGTGAACTGTTTGAAAGCTCTTACCGGGCCCCACTTGGCTACACATCGCAGGGTTGTGTGGGAAATGGGATTGTAGCGGGGCTGCAGAGGGGGCGGGAAGTGTGTACGTGCATGCGTGCACGCACACATGCGCTTCTGTGTGCCAGCGGTGGGTTTGATAGTGGTGTTTCGAATCCTCCCACGCCTGGGATTTGACAAGCAGAGAAAGACCAGAAAACCCAAAATAATGGGGGAAAGAGAAGACAGAGCTTTCCTGAAGCCATGGTGCAAGCTGTGGGCAAAATGTCTTCCTGTTTCTCATCCAGAGCCCCTGCCCCTAGGCCCAGCAGGCTGGCTGGCTGGACTGGTTTGGCCGGTCCACAGCCACTGCCAAAGCTGAACTCCCACTCCCAAACCCTCCTGCAACCTCACATCTTCCTGGGTGCAGCCTGGAGAGGGGAGTGGGGTAGCCAGGGGGCCAGCAAGGGTTTCAGACACTTTCTAGGTGCCCCAGGGGACCTACATATTTCCTATGTAAAGTTCAGTCTGTTTGCAATTAGACTTCTCTTCTTTGCTTATTTCCGGTGAGATTAAAAATAGCAAAATCAGCTTAATCTGGGACTCTCTGAGATCAACAAGGCCACTGTTTCCATCAGTATGAAAATACCAAGCTGTCCCGCCCATAGTCATGGGTCACACCACACGGCAGGCCCGGCAGCCTTTCTATAAGGCAGAATCTTCAAGATGTACACATCCTCAACAGATCAGGCTCTGTTTCTGGATCCTAGCAAGCGTAGCTTCTTTTCAACTTCAACTAAAAGACAAGGGATCCAGCACTGTCTCAGGCCCCAAGTTCTCTCTGTCCTTCCTTCTGGATAAGCTTAAGTCCTAGGCCCTGCTGGTCCACAGTAGCACTCTGCCCTCTGCTTCTGGAGTTTTCTCTGAGGTTGTTCTTTAGGGCTTAGGGATGATGACCCAGATCAAAGCCTCTGATGGTGTTTGCTTGTGTGTAGAAGTAAAGATAGGAATAGGGAAAGGACAGGGATGACGACAGGGACAGAACTGAGACAGAGGCAGAGATGAAGATAGACCTGATGGAGATGGACAGAGAAAGAAGAGAATCCCATTGGTTTTATTTCTCTGGGGAGCCTAGACTGATACGCTAGGAGTGGGGAGAAAAGCAGGTTATATTAAAGTTATTCAATGAGTAATAGACAATTTCATTTATTCATAGGGGAAGGGAGCAAATTATAGGGAAATATAAATGTGATGGAAGCTTCACAATAGCAGCAACACTTATTATAATAAATGCATAAACGGAGGTGTTACAAAGCCTAAACTCAATAGGAATGGGCTGCAGTTTTAGCAGTTTTGGCTCCGAAAAGGGGGCATTGGTGGTGGAACTTCCTGTCTAGAGTTCCCCTCTTCCTGTCTGAGAACCTCCTGTTGCTGCTCCCCCCTCCCCCCCATTACAAAAGATGGTATGCTTCTGTCTGTGGAAGCTTGCAAAGTAAAGGCCCGATGTTGGCCTGTCTCTTTCCTTTTAGTTCCAATTAAACAATGAAGGTACTTTTGAACAGCATCTGTATATATGGGCTCTGTGGTTACCAAGGACAGAAAATCTTCCTCTAACTGCTTTAGTAAGTGGGAAATCCAATGGGCCATGCAATGGAAAGATCCAGAATCAGACCTAGCAGCAGATGCAGTAGGATTCAGGACTAAAATAACGTCGCCAGGACTTGGTTACTCTCCTTCTCTCTGCTTTCTTCTCTGCTGTGCTGGCTTTAGACTCAGAGTTCACATGCCAGAAAAAAAGGGCAACAGTTGTAGGCTTTATACTTGCCAGTTAGGAGCGTCAAAGCCAAAGGATGAGTATCCTTTAGAGAAGTCCTAAGGAAAACCTCAAGGAATCTCATTTGTTGTGATTGATCTGATGTCCATTCCTGAACCAATCACCTTGCCCAAGAGAATGAGACAGCCTGATTGGTTTAGGCCTGGATCATTTGCTTTGCCTGAATTGGCGTGGAGTTGAACTGAATCTCACAGATTCAGGTGCAGGGTGCAGGGGACAGTGTGGGACTCCCCAAGAACAAGCACGGGCATGGGAACCAGGAGAGAGGGGACAAATACTGGGCAGTTAGAGATTACAGATAAGAAAGCCTAAACATTCATAATCCATTCATTTACGGAAAAGCATGTGTGGGGCTCTGCTATGGGGAGGTTGGGCCATCCTGTTCTGACTGCCCCATGCTCTCTTTTCATATGTGCTTGGTCATTGCCACTGCTGGGGTGGCAGAGTTGTTGGAAAGTGTTCTTTTCTCCAGTTCTTCTAACACCCAGCTCTATTACCAGCATCTTCCACCAAGAACCTGACCATAGACACAGATGGAAATGGGGCAGGAGTATTTTTCTGACAAAGCTGATGTTTCCATGTCATGCATGTGACTAGTAAGGAACTTGGCCAGGAATAACTACAGTTTGGAAAGCTTGGCCAAGGCCATAAATCATCTAATGAAGCCCCAGCCTCATCTTTCAACTTAAAACTTGGTTTCCATCTTCCCAGTGTCCTGCCTGGGGAGCAGAGAAACAAGAGAGCTGGACACTGAGTGGCCAGTTTTGTGTTCCACTGGGATGGCCCCCAGGCTGCACTGAGGTCGCCTTCCCATGGCGTGGTTCTTAGGGGTAATTTGGGGTCGAGCTGAAACCTTGAACTTGGCCCCTCACTCCTCTTTATTTTGCCAGTGCAGTCATGGAAACATGTCTGGTTTTTGAACTTAAAGCATTCTGGCCACAGAGGCCAGAGAACGAAGGGTCACACAGGACTGTGCAGAAGGGCAGGTGTGTCTGGGCAAGAAGATGCTTCCCCTTGGTGCAGCCCCGAAAGGGCCTGAAGGGCCAGAAGGAGCATGGCAAGGCTTGAGCTCTCAGGAGAGAGAAACAAGAGAGAAGTAGGGCAGAGGCATTGGCAGAAGAGGCAGAAGGAGGGAATTTATGCAGGATGACATCCAGGATGCTTTGCCATGCATTTCCATTAGAGTGGACACCCAGAGGCTTGCCATGCTTCTGACCCAGGAACAGAGGACGATGTGGCGTCCGGTGGCCCAGAGTCAGCACCTTGATATTTCAATAGGCCCAGTAATAAAGGTGAGGGTTGGAGTAGCAAACAAGCAGACCAAGCCAATGTGATCAGATTCAATCAAGACAAAGCAGGTAGACGACTCAACAGCAACAGACATCCTGGGCTGAGGAAATAGGGCACCATTCCCTTTCCCAACAGGGATAGCTGTATTGCTCCGTCTTGGCAGAATTTTCAACTTTCACAGGGCCCAGATCTTTGGGGAACCTTATTTTGCCCTAAGCCAGCTAAAAATAGTTGGGTGAAATGCGACTAACCAGAGACCCTCTGACCTCTTCAAATTTAGCTTTTGGACCAAGTTAAGAGACACTCTTCCGAGCCTTATTTCGGAGGTGGGAGAAGCTGTGTAGTGGCAGGCCACAGGCTCTGTGTTCTTTAGTTTAAACAAGAATCACTCTGTGAGCTGAGGGACTTTAGGATCATGAAGAAAAGCAATAAATAGGAAAGGGGATCAGACTTCTAGGATAGTCTTTGCTATACATTTCTCTTGATAATATGAAATAAAATGGAATGCTTCTTTAGCCAAGAGAATAACAATAAGAACAACACTTTTGTTTCTCCTGTGGAGTGTGGGCAGATTACCTGAGGCATAAATTCTCTGGTAGTCATAGTAAAACCTTGTAGCTTATTGCCAGGATGTTGTAGCTGCAAAAAAAAAAAAAAAAACAAAAACAAAAAAAACTGCTCTTAATGATTAGAATTTCTCTGAATAACAATCATAACAACTATTGTTAGGTGCTTACGATAAACTTGTTATTATTATTAGTATTATTATTTTTCGTCCTGGGGATTGAACTTAGGTCCTTGCACTTGCGAGGCAGATGGTGGAACCACTGAGCCAAATCCCTGGCCTGACAATAAACTTGTGAAGAGTGGTTACTGCTCTCATTTTACAGAAGAGAAAGTAGAAGCTCAGAGAACTTCTATAGCCCTATGTAGAAAGAGGGGAAGATTGAATTCTGTCTTGGTCAGTGAGACCACAGATTCTGTGCACCTAACTTCTCTGTGGTTCTCAGCAGCACCTCCATTCCCCCCTACACTGAGCACTGTGGGGCTTATCCTTGGGAAGCCTGATTCAAATTATGAGTGCATCTGTCAGCATCCTGGCAGGAAGGCGTTGGTACAGTTAAATGAGGGTAAGTGAGGACTCAGAAATGGGATTGCTTACAAGTTCTGGACAAGGTCAAAGGAAACCAACAAGGCACGATGAGTTCCTCCGGGGTGGACAGGGATGAAGAGCTTGAGAGCAAGGGAGGAAAAGCAGGAGAGAGACACTCAGCAGGTGCTGTGGCCTTCGATGAAGGGGTGGTCTAGAGACACAGCCAAGCAGAGGCCCAGTGCAACCAAGGGAATAAATATTTTGACTTGGTCCTGTCCCTCCATGTTTTTGGTGCCTCCCACTGGCTGAACCCAACTGAAGCCAGAACTTGTGGGGGCCCAGCAATGCAGTCCACGTCAGCCTCCCAGGCACAGGGCGTGGGAAGAAGGATGGGGAAGGGCATCTGTTCTGGGGGATGAAGGCACCTGTCCAGAGTAATGAATTAACATGTCCAGAAGTTTGGGTGCTTCTGTTTTGGGGTTCAGGGGTACTCACTTCCCTCTACAGGCAAAAGGATGGCTTCTGAAGACATAGGAAATAAACTTTTGATCATTTAGGAACCAGCACAGATTCACCAAACAATGCTACCAGTACTGTACTTTAAAAAAATGGATGAGGTAATTTGGGGCCCATGGCATTTCAGTAGGCAGTGCAACAAGGACCTTGTGGCACTGTTGAGAACGAGGTCTGGGACACAGCATAACTGGAGTGGCTGGGACCTACAGCTGCAGATAGACAGAAGGTCCCATCAGTACTCAGAGCTCTTCCATGGCCTTCACTTTCAGCACCTCCACCAGAGACTGAGAAGAACCATCAGAGGTCAGTCTTACCCACTGCTGCAGCAGGAATGGCTCCTACCTTGGATAACAGAACTAGAATCCCCAAAGAGCCTAACACTTTGGGCTAATGGTGGTTGAATGTAACATGATAACATAATAGGATTAAACTTACACCTGCGATGTTGATCCTGAATCAGAAGGAACTATAGTGCTCAAGACAGGGCAGTGGTGAGTATTACTAGAAAACTTGATATAAATCTGCGTGCACGATTACCAAGAAAATTGGTGTGATCTTAGGTGAAATTAGTTGAAAAATAATTTCAAGTGACAGTTAAAGAGATCTGTTCCACCTAGAAAGCTATCATGTCTTTTTCTTTCCTTCCTTCTTTTCTTTCTTCTTTCTTTCTTTCTTTTTTTTTTTTTGTGTGCTGGGGATGAAATGTATAGCTTCATTCAACTATCTACATCCTTAGCCCTTTTAAAATTTTGAGACAAAACAAACAAAAATAAAATTTTGAGACAGAATCTTGCTAATTTGTTGTTATGGCTTGTATGTAGGTGTCCCCCAATGCTCTGTGCACTCACATGTGAGGTTTTTTGGGAGGTGGCTGGATCTAGAGTGTGAATGCATATTAGGGATGTTGAATATGGATTAAGAGTGTGATAACTAAATTAGTCCACTGATTGGTTTAGCATAGTTCTGTGTGTGGATAATGGGAAGGTCCACCTTGCTTGTGGGTGACATCACCAAAAAGGCTTAAACCCTGATAGGATAAAAGGGAAAGGGAGGCTCACTGCTGCTGTTTGCTGCTTGTGGCCTCCTGCTAAGCCTGCCATGGACTGTTTCACCTCTGCCATGCTGCTCTGCCTTGGATCCAGCTGACCATGGGCTGAAACTTCTACACACTGTGAGCTTAAATAAACCTTTCCTCTCTTAACTTTGGGTGTCAGGGATATTTTGTCTTGGCAATGAGACAAACTAAGGCAATTGTTCATATTAATCTTGAACTTGTGATTCTTCTGCCTTAGCCTCTGGAGTGGCTGGGATGACTGCATGAGTCCCGGCACCTGGCTCCACGTTACTTTTATTTTTTTGTTTTGTTTTGGTACGGGGGATTGAACTCGGGCCCTTGTGCTTGCGAGGCAGCAGGAGAACTGCTGAGCTAAATCCCTGGCCCATCCACATTACTTTTAAAGGAGAATCAAAGAAAAACTGGACTAAACTGGGAATGGCGGCTCACAACGGTAATCCCAGCACTCTGGGATCCTGAGACGGGAAGATTACAAGTTTGAGCTCAGCCTGAGAAACTCAGTGAAACCCCATCTCAAGCTAACGGAATGTAATTCAATGAGGAGGCCCTGAGTTCAGTCCTCAGTGCTGAAAAAAATAAGAAGGCAAAGAGATTGGACAATATCTGGGGTGAGGCATAGGGACAAGTGAGGGAGCCTGAGAGTGTGTGTGAAGGAAAAAGCAGAAGAGCCAAATAAGATGGAAGGCAAGTAAGAGAGGTCTTTGTTTATGTAAAAGGTGGTTGTGTAGCAGATCCTGTCCATGCAGGGCAGAAAGTAAATGTAGAGCCAGTGGGTGACAGCTAATAGGAGCTGGCTGGAGATCCCCTGGGGTCAGGCAGAGTACAGGGGAGTTGGCCAGTGCTCTCTGAGATGAGTCCCAGCCAAAGGCTGGTGCCAAATAGGCTTCGGCATTAAATGCATAAGAGGACTACATGGCCTCCAAGGGTCTCTGTTGAGTCTAAATGCCTGGTCCATGAGTAGTGCTTGCACACTGTACCCACTTCACACTGACAATTCGATGGCTAAGGTATTGGGAGGGAGCACACCCAGTCTTCAATACACACGGACCCTTGGACATACAGGACAGGGCATTCCTCTTCAAGTGAACTTTGGAGTTCTTGGCACATGCAGACTGCTCCACGTAGTGGAGGAACCTCGGCCCTAGGGTCAGGCAGGTCTGGGCTTCAATCTCTTCCAGCTGCTCTGGCTGTGCAACCTAGACCAGTCACTTCCACTTGGCATCTTCAGCTCTTCGGTGCAGACTTTGTGGGGGTGGCTGGGAATCTTGTCCTTAAGGAGCTGACTGTCCCTTCTACAGTCGTGGATATGTGGGAAGACTGGGGCTTCACCATAGTTGGTTTCTTTCCATTCTCTTCCTTGCATAGAGCTCAGATTTGTGGCCATTTCTAGGAAATCTTGGGCAACAGGTCTCGTGGGGCCTTGTGGGAAATCTGTACCCTTCTTTCCTTTCAAAGCACTGCCTGTCACTCCTCCCTGAATGGCTGCTCCTCCTCCACAGCCTGCAGCTCTGCTCATGCCACTCACTAACTTCCCCTCGGAGACCCCGTACACAGTCTTGGCAGCAGTGGGAGTGAGTGACTGGGGAGAGGCTGGTTGCAGCAGAGCGGCCATTCTTTCCCTGTGGGCAGGAAGCCCCCTATCTCTGAGGTCTTGATTTTGCAGAGTGCTCAGGGTGCTGCACTGGGTGAGATGTCTTCTGATTTTGGAATTTACTACCATCCCGAAGCAAGCTATCTTTCTTCTCCACTTTTCAAAGTTCAGCCCAAATGCCACTTTCTCTAGGGGATGCTGCCTGGCTTCTCCTAGACACTCTGTGCCACACAGCCAACCACCATCAAGGGTTGGTCCCAGTTCTTGTGTCCTGTTTCCCAACCAAAGGGAACTCGTTTTGAGTACCAGGACCAGGATCCGATTCTCTGAATCCAGGTGGATGTTCAGCTACATTCTGGGGACATAGTATGCACCCAATGAAAGCTTGCCATGAGGTTCTTTCTATCCTTCTCCCACATCCCTTTGTTAAGTCAAGAGTGATAAGAATAAACACCAAGTTAGCATTTACTCATCAACCAATGTTTGTAATGTGGAATGTGGTGACATCTGACTTCTGGACTTGTTTCTTGACCCACTGTTGATGTGCTCCTCTACCTCCTTCAGCCCAAGATTCTTTCTCCTCCTGGTGCAACTAAATCTAATTCCCACCTAGGAGGTCCCCTCTTCTATGCTTTCAGGATAGAAGGGACCTTTCCCCTAGTCTTGCTATAGCTCTGCCGGCAGCAGGTTAGGGATTCCCCCTAGAACCCTGCCCAGCCTTTGGAGAGTAGGCACCGTACTAGCAGGGGCTCCAGCTGCAGCTCCCCATGGGTGAGTTCCCAGGTAGGGGAGGCTGTTTGGGGTGACCACCCACTCCAGGGCTGGCCTGCTTTGTCAGACCCCCCTTTTCAAAGACATCCTTGGCAATGACCCTCTGCTTGGCCCTGTGCAGTGGCCTGAAGTTGCCCATTTATGCAGGGAAGGAGGGACCCTGCTGAGGTCCTGTTTCCTGTCCTCTGCAGGCCCAGACTTCAAAGTTGTGACCCCCCCATCCTCCCCTTCCTTCTTTCGCCTGCCTCCTGCCTTCCTCTCCTCCTCAACATTCCTTGATTCTTCTTGTTTATATTGCAGCAAAGAACTGTGAGATTGAATGACTGGACTAAAAGATCTTGGCAAAGGGCCACGTATCTTTGGGTGGTTTAAAGGGGGCAGATGCAGACTTCAGCCCCACCCATGCCTTCCCCAGAGGGGACTCCCTCCCCCAGCTCCAGAGGAGAGGAACGGTGCCCAACAGAGGCAGACAGAAGGCGGCCCAGCCGGCCCTGGTCCCCAGGCAGGAGAGATTGGTTTTCCAGTGGAAGAGGTGGTCTGAAGGAACGGATTCCTGGAGGGCGGAGTGGAGGGAAAGAAGAGCTGTGTGCATC